CACATGTGATTAATTTGAATAATTAACGCTTTAAAAAAAATTAACGCAATAAACAGTTGTTGTTTTTTCTGTTGTGGCCAGGGCAGACGCCCGCAAGTTTCCCGCTGTTTCGACGTACTTTTTGGGCCGGGCTGATCATCTTCTTATGATCTGATCGGCCCATAAAACACTCAGCAGAAAAACGGCACGATTCGGATAGCAATGTATGAGTACTATGTTTCTAACTACAGCTCCTGAGTTGTTGGAGTGCAAGTGCACAAATTTTGCGAATGTTCGTTGGAATGATGAATTTTGGAAACGGCAAATCAACGAACTATGTTTGTAATGACAAAACTTGCTACCTTACTTGGCTAACGATGGTTTTGGGAAACGCACCCCAGATTGACTCTCCTTTGGTTGTGTTGGTGCTGTTTTTGCCCCATTGACTTTCATTTTAATCACATTTATTGATTGCAAATAATCATGCATTGTTGATTGTTGCTGGCTTTCATGTTGGGAAGAGCTACAGTTTGTCATTTCTACTGTTGATCATAATATAGTGTGTGTAATGCAGTGTGTATGGGGGGCAGGACAGTAAATCTGACATGCTTCTCTCCTCTGGCTGCCGTTATCAGTCTCACACTGTTGTTTTCCTCTTTCTGAAAGTCTAGATAACACCATCCTGGAGTTTTTCAGTCATTATTTCAGTAAATAGCATTGTAAATAAATGATTTGTTGTGCTCTCCCATCAACTGCGCTCTGAGTTTACCAACTATGACCACTTCTGCTGAGGAGAAACACGCAAATGTGCAAAGTGTCCATAGTAAAGTGTGACCATTGTTGTATTAATGCACGTGTGACTTTCAGGCTATGGCACTGACCTGCAGTTGTTTAATGGTGTCTCCTCCTTTCCCGATGACCAGGCCCACTTTACTGGCCGGGATCAGGATCTCCTGCACCGCGCTGCTGCCGTCCATCTGACTGTGGAAACCCGGCCCGTTCCGACAGCGGTCCACTATCTGACCCAGCAGACGCTTAGCCTGCCTGGAAACAGCCAATCAGAGACGACCACTGGTTAATCAAGCTCAATGCAACAGGACAGGACACAAAAAGCAGGATATACAGATTCAACATTTGTGCAGCTCCACTCCAAAGAGGCGTAAGGTAAGTTTAATTGTATGTTTTGTTAATTTAATTGCATTTATTGTGCAATTTAAAAGAAATACCCTTTATTAAACATCATCTGTTTATGCAAAGGTTGATATTACTGCCACAGCCTTATCACCCTGCAGCCCAAGACCAGTTACTCACTTAAGCTAAGAGCTGTATTGAACATTGTAACACACACAAAGCACAATATTGTACACAAAACACCTAAACATTAACATGATATTCAACAGTATATTAGATAAAAATGTAAATTAATAAATGAATATATTTGCACACATTTATACAAGTAAATTGATGCAATGACACGTTTTGAGTGTTTTGTGGTGGGTTAAACTGTTCATTAAAAGAAGAATATTGATGGTTATTTCGTCTTACTCGATACTCTCTGGGGTCCCGGTCAGGGTGCAGGGCCGATCCATCATACCACCGCTGTCTGTGGACGGAAAACAGAGATAAATACAGGCAACTCACAAATAAAATCCACAACAGAAACTAAATGCACAACACGAAAAAAGAGCCATTTGCGACACAATAATCAAATAGAGCTTTTAAGAATTCAGCAGATCACTTATACACACTATTTGCTCATTTATGCAATTAAATGACGTGAATATGAACTGAAGGTAAACTCACCAGCAGCGATCTGGATCTTGCAGTTGGATTCCAGCTGAATTCTGGTGATCTGTTCGCCGCCCCGTCCAATAACTGCACACAAAAATATAGTTTTATATTTTGTTCACTATTAAATTGTTCTCGTTTTGAAACTAACGATGCACAAAAACGATGATGTAGACATTCAGCAAACCACCGAGAGCACAAAATAAAAACATGTAATAACCAAAATACAGGAAGTTGTGATGTAACAACAAAATGGGCAAGCTGGCCTGTTACACTAAAGAGTGAATGACTGAAATAGATTATATATAAATATAAACTACACCAAAAAGTGCATGTATTAAATGCTGAGTAAAGGATTACATTTAAAAAAAATAATCACTAATTACATTGTGTGCTGATTAAATAACTAAATCATAAATAAACTCTCATAAATACTGAGAAATTTATCCACAAAATAACAGTTATAATTATGTGATTCGGTATTAACAAATAAAATATAACAAGAATATAACATAAAAAAACGTCAAATAATTAAAATATAAGAGTGAAATCTCCTTTTAATGATATAAAAAAGTATTCAGATTAGTAATGGGTGATATGGATATGAATATATTTGTTATTTATAAAAACAAAACTTTCAAACACGTCTTTAAACATTTGCTGAATTGAGGAAGTCAAAGTTCCAGTAAATAAGCCAATTTTAATCTACAAGCTGCTTATATGTTTTCAGATTTGTACCATGTTCTGTTCAAATTTGTAAAAAAGAAATACAAACCAAAATAAGATTATTGCAAAATTAGTGCATTCTGAATATTCATTTGCAAATAAAGGTATTTAAATGCATTTTAATTCTTTTATGCATATTTAATCTAATTAATGGGGTAATTTAAAAGCAGTATTTCATATTAAACAATTAGACAGGGTCTCATAATGTAAAATTTAAGACCTTTTAAGACCTTTTTAAGACCATTAAGTATTAAATTTAAGACCTATATCGCAATATCAAAAACACGCGAGAGAAAATGTAAAAGCACAAAATTAGGGGTAAAATAAAGTTATTTAAATTTCGCTCTCTCGCATTACAACGCTCCCGACTTATAAAACTGCGCTTGCGACATGTGTCAGTGAAATAACGGCATACTCTGCCAGCCGAAATAATGTCGCGCGCACTCAAATCGAACTTCCGCAAACACAGCGATGACGTCACATTCGCCACGCGCACTGAGTTTAATAACACAAAGCTGATTGGCTATTGCAAGTTGACTTTTTTGTAGTTGTAATATCGCAAATTACAATTGGACTTGTGAAATAATGAACTACAACACCCCAAAAACCAAGCAACAACAACAAAAATAATTTAAATGAGCATTAGATGTAGCGTTACATGGACATCGCAAAAATAAGACCTGTGCAAAAATATTTAAGACCTAGAATTTAAGGAATTTAGATTTTTTTATTTAAGACTTTAATACTTTTTAAGACCCCGCGGGGACCCTGTTAGAGCCATTTGATCGTAAAGCCCATGTGTTTCCACAATAATAAATGAATGAATCCTCATCTGCAATACTTACTGAATCCAACCATCTTATCAGGCACTTTGAAGTCTTCTGTTATTATAGCCCTACACAACAACATCAGCATTACAAACATGCAGAAACACACAATAATAGCAGAGAATAAGAGAGTCAATAGAATAAAACTCACCTTGTACCATGTACCATTGCACCAAGCTGGTTTGCCACTGCAGGAAACAAAACTTATATATTAATATTACTGTCAAAAATACAAAAAATAATTTGACAGTCTGGCTGATGAAACAAACATTCATAACCTGTATTATAAAAAACTAAAATGAAATCCACATATAAGGAGGTTTAAAGTGTTTTAAAGCACTGTCTGTTGTTGTCAGAGAATCTGAAGCACATGCTGTAATGGCTCCGCCCACTTCTGGAAAGGGGGGCGGGGAGCTGAATCTCATTTGCATTTAAAGAAACACACAAAATAGAAACACAAAAAAAATAGCACATTCTTTTGTGTTCACCCTAAAAAGGAGCTTTTATTATATAAAATAAATAAATAAATAAATAAATAAATAAATAAATAAATAATAAAGCATGGTGTTTGGATTTTCACACACACTTTCTGATAGAAACTTAAACTTATTTTGCACTTTGAAAAATTACAATTTGACTTCTTTAAAATGATGCAGGTTACTGAATAAATATGAAAAAACATATTTTAAACCTCGGCTCTGTGGTTTTACATAATAATAATAATAATAATAATATTAACAATTATTTTGATAAAGTATTATTATTATAGTTTCTTAATTAAAATGAGCAAATCTAAAACAAAAGTGACCCATTCTTGCGATAAAAATTAAAGAAAAAAAATATAAATAGTCTTAAAGGAAACCTAGTTTCAGGAGTACATTTTTGAAGGTTTTAGGACATTAAAATAAACACACATTCCTGCCCAACGCCACCACAAATCAAGAAAGCAATGCCTAATGAATATATGTCTTAATTATACTGGAGGAAATTCATTACACAATATCATGCAACACACACACACACACACACACACACACACACACACACACACACACACACACACACACACACACACACACACAGATTGTTGAAGTGCAGCTCGAGTGTGTTTGAGCTCTGACCACACACACACAGCTTTCACTTCCTGAAGCTCGACTCTAGCGCTGCTTTTTCTGACTGTTTCATGAAGTTTCGCAAGCAGCAGAAGAGCAGAAACTCCAGTCAATGCACAAACATCAAGTCCTGCATGGAGGAATATTCTGCTGCTGTTTTACTTGCACTCATGCTTGATAGTTTAATATAGGACCAGCTTCTGGGATCATTTTCATGATGCAACATTATTTATTTTTATTTATTGTAAATTTCATGTCAGTATATAGGGCAAGGCAAATATACTTGATAAATAAACTTTATCACTAGTGGTAGTATTATTTTTAAAGCTAAGTGAGTGTCTTCAGCTATTTAAACAGTGAGAATTTGAGTATGTTTGTTATTTATTCATGCCACTTGAGCACAGGCTACTTTCATTTTTTATACATATTTTTTTAAATGCCATGTCAGCATCTTAGGGTATTTTTATGGTAAGAAATTGTATGTATGTGTGCACATGCATGTACACTCACTGGCCACTTTATTAGGTACACCTTTCCAACTGCTCGTTAATGCGAGTTTCTAATCAGCCAATCAGATGGCAGCAGCTCACTGCATTTAGGCATGTAGACATGGTCAAGACGATCTGCTGCAGTTCAAAGCGAGCATCAGAATGGGGAAAAAAGGGGATTTAAGAGACTTTGATCGTGGCATGGTTGTTGCTGCCAGACGGGCTGCTCTGAGTATTTCAGAAACTGCTGATCTACTGGGATTTTCACGCACAACCATCTCTAGGGTTTACAGAGAATGCTCCGACAAAGAGGAAATATCCAGTGAGCGGCAGTTCTGTGTGTGCAAATGCCTTGTTGATGAGGTCAGAGGTCAGAGGAGAATGGCCAGACTGGTTCCAGCTGATAGAAAGGCAACAGTAACTCAAATAAGCACTCGTTACAACCGAGCTCTGCAGAAGAGCATCTCTGAACACACAACACGGCCAACCTTGAGGCGGATGGGCTACAGCAGCAGAAGAGCACACCGGGTGCCGCTCCTGTCAGCTAAGAACAGGAAACTGAGGCTACAATTCACACAGACTCACCAAAACTGGACAATAGAAGATTGGAGAAACGTTGCTGCTCTGATGAGTCTCCATTTCTGCTGACACATTCAGATGCTCGGGTCAGAATTTGGCCTCAACAACATGAAAGCATGGATCATCCTGCCTTGTATCAGCGGTTCAGGCTGGTGGTGGTGGTGTAATGGTGTGGGGGAGATTTTCTTTGGGTCCATTAGTACCAATTGAGCATCAACGCCACAGCCTACCTGAGTATTGCTGCTGACCATGTCCATCCCTTTATGAGCACAGTGTCTCCATCTTCTGATGGCTACTTCCAGCAGGATAACGCAGCATGTCATAAAGCTCAATCATCTCAGACTGGTTTCTTGAACATGACGATGAGTTCACTGTACTCAAAAGGCCTCCACAGTCACCAGAGCTCAATCCAATAGAGCAGCTTTGGGATGTGGTGGAACGGGAGATTGGCATCATGGATGTGCAGCCGACAAATCTGCAGCAACTGTGTGATGCTATCATGACAATATGGAGCAAAATCTCTGAGGAATATTTCCAGTAGCTTGATGAAACTACAACACCAAGGATTAAAGCAGAACTGAAGGCAAATGGGGTCCAACCCGGTACTAGTGAGGTGTACCTAATAAAGTGGCCGGTGAGTGTATTTTCATGGCAAACAAATTATGTATTTTTTACTTTTTTATAGTACACTAGTTATTTTTAATGCCATGTGAGCATCTTTACATCAGGCTATTTTTGTATAAAGAAAATGTATTTTTTTTTTATTTATTTTTATTTGTATTTATTTATTGCAAATGTTAGCATGACTAATTTAAAAAAATTGTTTGTATTTTTTTACATAATTTTTTTATGCTATTTTCATGGCAAAAAAAAACTATTTATTTTTTATTGTTATAATTTGTATGCCATGTCAGCATCTTAAGCTGTATTCATGGTGATAATTTGTTTATTTATTTATTTATTGTACGTCAGTTTCTTGGGCTATTTTGCATGATGAACTATTTCATTTGTCTATTTTTTTCATTTTTGTTATTCATTTCAGCATCTTAGTTTACGCTCATGAGCATTAAATGCATCGCTTTAATCACTTATATTTTAGTTGAGTCTAAAGTTGTCTGTATCTTTTATTTTTATTAATATTTCCGATCAATAAAAATATTGCCACAAATTATTTCATGTTTTGCAGCAAGATTGAATCAAAACCTCTATTAAATGAGTCTTTTATTGCCACCAGTATTGAAAGCGTGTATAAAGTGAAGTATTAATGATGTTTAGCATCTCACCTCCTTCATCCAGCGAGCGTTTCTGTGTAGCGTATCCGTACAGCGAAGCATCGACCACTGGAGACGAGTTATTCATGTGCGGCAGCGGCTCGCCACCCATCTTAATCTGCAAACAGCAGAGAGAAAAGACAGATCAACACACAATACACAACACTGCAGTGTGCAAACGCAACGCAAACACACAAACTCTCATCCTACATTATGAAAGACTCAATTCTAACAGGTAAAGTGTGACCCTGATCCATGAAAGCTGTCATAATGTGTTGAGAATATTTTAAAGCCATTTTTGCCATTTCAGTGTTGGGCTAGCTTCTGGAGGACCGTGTGGCTACTTGGCCGTCCTCGTGTCAAGACCATCTCTTTAATTCTGTAACCGTCATTCATCATTGTATTTAATGATTTATTTCATTTTCGAATCTTAGACTCTTTTTTTTTTTTTTTTTACTACTTTATTTTATTTATTATTGTAATGCCATGTCAGCATCTCTGGCTATTTTTATGGCAAATTTATTTATGCCATGTAAGAAGCTTACACTATTTATTTTCATGGAAATTCAATTTAATTTATTTAATAAATATATAGTTTTAATTTTTTAAATGCCTGACAGCATCTCAGACTATTTTCATTGCAATTTTAATTTTATTAATTCATTTATTTATTTATTCCACATCAGCATCCTAGGCAATTTAGGCTATTTAATTTAATTTCATTTAATTTATTAAAACATTTTTATTTTTAAATGTCATGTCAGCATATCAGGCTATTTTCATGGCATTTTTTTTCTTTTCTTTTTTCTTTCTTTATTTAAATGTCATGTCAGCGTCTCAGGCTATTTTTATGGCAATATTAATTTATTTATTTAATAATTTTTTTTGTATTTTTAAATGCCATGAAAGTCTCTCACACGCATCTCAGACTATTTTCATAATTTAATATTTTTTCTTCTTTTATTCATTCTACATCAGCATCTCAGGTTATTTATATGACAATTTAACTTATTTTTTCATTTCTTTATTTATGCCTCATCGGCATCTTACGCTATTTTCACACAAGTTTATTTCATTACATTTTTTTGAAAGCCATGTCAGCATTTTAGGCTATTTTTATGACAAGTTCATTTATTTATTTATTATTTTGATGCCATATCAGGATCTTAGGCTATTTTCCTGGCAAGTTTATTTATTTATTTTTTGATTCTATGTCAGCATTTTAGGCTATTTTCATAAGAATTTTATTTTATTCATTTATTTGATTCTTGTTTTTAAATGCCATGTCAGCATAACAGGCTATTTTTATGGCAATTTCTAATTTATTTATGCCACGTCACCAGCTCAGGCTATTTTCAGAGCAATTTTAATAATTTAATTAATCCATTTTTATTTTTAAATGGCACATCAGCATCTTGGACTATTTTCATGGCAATTGTATTTTATTTATTTCAAAACGTCATGCCAGCATCTCAGGCTATTTTTATGGAAAGAGTTTTTTTTATTAATTTTATTTAAATAATTATTATTATTATTTAAATACCATGTCAGCATCTGAGGCTACTTTTATGGCAATTTTGTTTTATTTACTTATTTATTTTATTGCCACATCAGCATCTAAGGCTCTTTTCATGGAAATTTTATTTTATTCAATTAATTAAAAAAAAGAAATGCCATGCCAGCATCTCGGCTATTTTTATGGCAAGTTTGTTTATTTATTTATTATTGTGATGCCAAAAAAAATATTTATTTATTTAATTAATTTTCATTTTTAAATACCCTGTCAGCATGTTAGACTATTTTTAATGGCAATTGTATTGTATTTTATTTTATTTTATTTACTTATTTTAATGGCACAAGAATTTTAGGCTATTTTCATGGCAATTTAATTTTTTTATTTAATTATTTAATACATTTTTGTTTAAAATACCATGTGAGCAGCTCAGGTTATTTTTATAGCAAATTTGTTTATTTATGCCACATCAGCATCTTAGGCCATTTTCATGGCAAGTTTATTTATTTATTTATTTATTTTGATTCCATGTCAGAATCTTAGGCTATTTACATAGGAATTTTATTTTATTCATTTATTTATTTAATTCTTGTTTTTAAATGCCATTTCAATATAACAGGTTATTTTTATGGCAATTTATTTAAATTATTTGATTATTTTCAGTTTATTTATTTATGCCACGTCAGCAGCTCAGGCTACTTTAATAGCAATTTTAACAAATTAATTAATACATCTTTATTTTTAAATGCCAGCATTTTATTTTATTTAATAAATTTAAAAAAAAAAATTAAATGCCATGCCAGCATCTCGGCTATTTTTATGGCAAGTTTATTTTTATTTTTTTATTATTTTGATGCCATGACAGGATCTTAGCGTATTTTCATGGAAAAAAAAATTATTTTTTAAATGTATTAATTAATTTTTATTTTTAAATGCCATGTCAGCAGACTATTTTTTAATGGCAATAGTATTTTATATTATTTACTTATTCATTTTAATGCCGCATACGAATCTTAGGCTATTTTCATGGCAATTTTATTTTATTTATTTACTTAATACATTTGTTTAAAATGCCATGTGAGCAGCTCAGGTTATTTGTTTGGCAAATTAGTTTCTTTATGCCACATCAGCATCTCGGCTATTTTTACGGCAAGTAAAAATATTTTTATTTTTATTTATATATTATTTTGATGGCATGACAGCATCTTAGACTATTTTCAGGGAAAAAAATTTATTTATTTATTTATTTAATTTTTATTTTTAAATACCATGTCAGCATCTTAGACTATTTTTAATGGCAATTGTATTTTATTTTATTTACTCATTTATTTTAATGCCACATAAGAATCTTAGGCTATTTTCGTGGCAATTTTAATTTAATTTAATAAATTTATTTATTTGAGAAATTTTCCTAATGCCATGCCGGCTTCTGCTATTTGCATCGTAATTTTATTGATTAATAATGAATGAATTAATTTATTTAAATGCCAAATCAGCATCTTAGGTTATTTTTATGGCAGTTATTCATGTTTAATGCCATATCAGCATTGTAATGCACTCTAATGGACAACTGCTTCTCACTCAGGGCTGCTGTTTATGCAAATGAGGGAGAGATGGGCACTAGTGGGCGGGGCTTTCCCCCTCTGAAGACACGTACAAAGAGAGAATGTCAATCACAGTGTTTCATTCATCAAGTCTGATTAGAACAAACACAATAATTCATGCTTCATCATCAGAGTCTACTGGAGATATTCACACACTGCTGACACACATTACTGTGTTTAAACCCCTTACAAAAGTCATTTCTGCATAAGAGGTGCCCTTTAAACGTGTCCGACTGCATTTCAACAGTGCACACAATATCATCAACACTGCTAAACTCAAAGCAAGAGGCCATTTTGAGTGTATGAAGTGAACAAGACACACACACACTCTCTCTCTCTCTCTTCCCTCCAGCTAAAGCCTCTTTCTGGGGAATGCTGGGAAGGAATGTCAGCTATGTGAGAGTGGAATAAATGAGCGACCCGAGGGAAAAACTGCAGCCGAGCGCTCGAGTAGGTAAACAGCAATGCAGACCAACAACTGGACACTTGTTGCCCACACACACATGCGCGCACACACAAATGATTGTTTACACTGAACTCAATGTAGGTCAATGGAGTCCATTAATTACCCATGATGCAACAAGCAGGCCGGCGTGTGTTCATGCTAACACCTAGCAGCGCAGAAAACAAGACTGCTCACTTTTACATGCTCAGGGATTTAATGATGACTGTTGACTAGTGGTGAAACGGATCACGAATCTCACAGTTCGGGTTTCATCGAGCCATGGATCAAACCATTTTTCACATCAGCCGAAAAGGGGAGGAGACTAATGTCATTTGCTTTGCATTTATGACAGAAACAGCACTGCATGAAGACATAATCAGCTGAATAACAATAAACGGAAATATTCAGTGCTGAGAAGAATTCCTAGAGTAGCTGATAACACTGAATGTAGAAATTAACATTATCATGTTTATTTCCAGTCTCATCTCCAATAAATGATGCAGTTATTCACTCATAAATCTTCATGTTTCATCGCTAGATGATCATTTCTGAAGAATTATTCAGTGGTGTGTTTCTGATGGCGAGTTGTTATTGTAATCGCTGCCTACAACTTTTATTTCAGAGTGTCATTAAATGATTTAATCTCTTAGGATCGATAAACATTTGCAAATCAGCATCATTTATAATTGATGTTGCGTGGGTGTTGAGATCCCGATCTTTTAATGATTAATTGTGCAGCTTACACTGAATCAGGCTAAACAAGAGACAGAAAACACCTTTAATAACCCAAGAAACCCTCAACATCCCCAATAACCCACCATATTTTACAGGAAAGCTTTAATGCGTTCATATCTCTTATACATTATAATATTATTTTAAATGACTAAAATGTCAACAAAAGTCCCTTTATTAAACTGCAGATTTAAATGTTCAACATCAGAAGTGGACAGAGCAGAGATCAACATCCCATAATGCAATTCACCATCACAAATAAACCCCTGTGAATCAACTGCTCATTAACTGATAGTCTTTCCGGTGTAACCTCATCTGTACGGCGGACAACCAAACATGCTGATTTAAAAGCATGCAATTTCATCATTCGCGCATGAACACAAACAAGCATTTCTTTAACCCCAGAACCATGCAAACTGTGTCAAAACGATAGGGAGTAGACAGTGTTTTACACACAGGCTGTAAAACGGGCCTGTGATGCTGGACTTGAGCCCAGCTCTATGCTTTTCCTCAGCAGTTGATAAACTCAATGCGCACACAGAGCGTCCAGCAGCTTAAAACTGTAGTGAAACCTACAACCGGTCACAGCTGTCCACTGTGTGTGTGTGTGTGTGTGCGCATGTGTGTGTACAAGGCCATGTGCTTCTCAAACAACGAAAAACAAGCTATGAAATGGAGGCCATGGAGTCTAAAGTTTGCAAGATACTTTCAATACTTACTAAAGCTTATAAAATTAAGAGAAAACTCATTTGCACTGAAATACTACACACAATTAAATGTGTCATGGTAAAATGACTACAAAAAGTGCTTTTTTGAGCAGATTT